GCCCCAACCCCCCGATGGGCCCTGCTCTGTGCGTGACAGGGGGTGGCGCCGCAACCTCCCCATCAACCCTGCCTTGAGTGTGACAGGAGGTGGTGCCTCAACCCCCCTAATCGTCCTACCCTGAGCATGAGAGGGTGGCATCGCAACCTCCCGATCCACCCTGCTCTGTGCATGACAGGGGGCAGCGCCCCAACTCCTCAATTGGCCCTGCTCTGAGCCCAACCAGGGACTGCACCTAGGGATTGGGCCTGCCCTCTGCCACCTGGGAGCAGGCCTAAGCCAGCAGGTCGTTATCTCCTGAGGGGTCCCAGACTGCAAGAGGGCACTGGCTGTGCTGAGGGTCCCCCCCCCCCACCGAGTGCACAAATTTTTGTGCACTGGGCCTCTAGTCATTACATAAAAGGGCATGGTCTCTCTTTTTTTGTTTTATTCATTCAAACCGGGCCGGATCCAGCCCGCGGGCCGTAGTTTGCCCACACCTGGGATAGAGAGATAGAAACATCAATGTTGAGAATCACTGATCAGCTGCTTCTTGCACACCCCCTACTGGGGAGGATCAAGTCCGCAAGCCCGGGCATGTGCCCCTGGCCAGAATTGAACCTGGGACCCCTTAGTCTACAGGCCAAAGCTCTATCCTCTGAGACAAACCAGCTAGGGCTCATCTACTTCTTAATAGAAAAATTAAAGATGCTATGTTTTATACTATGCATTGTTCATATCAAAATTAAAAAAGGGATTACAGGAAAAATAAGTGAGTTCATATGTTTAAGAGTTCTTAATGAAGCTAAACTGCGATAGGTTTCACCTAAGTTCTTTGATTGAATTTCTTCAAACTAATTTTTTGATTATTGTTATATATTAACATTATACCTTATACTAAATGATATGGCTATCTCATATATATACGATGCAATACAGTATAGTATTATCTATACTTATAATAGAGGAATATGCAAATTGTCTGGGACACTGTCATGGTAACAGTAACAACCAAACAGCAGGCTGCATGGGGCGACCAGACCAGCAGGGGAGGCAGTTGGGGGTGACCAGGCTGGTGCAGGGGGGAGTTGGGGGTGACCAGGCCAGCAGGGGGGCAGTCGGGGCAACCAGGCCAGCAGAGGGTGCAGTTGAGGGCAACCAGGCCAGCAGGGGGGGCAGTTAGGAGCAATCAGGCCGGCAGGCAGGTGAGCAGTTAGGAGCCAGTAGTCCGGGACTGTGAGAGGCAGTCGGGGTCCCAGATTGGAAAGGGTGCGGGCTGGGCTGAGGGGAACCACTCTCCATGCATGATTTTGTGCACTCGGCCTCTAGTATAATATATAATGTCATCATTATAAATTATACAATTACCAGTTATAGTTAATATGAAATGTAGTAAAATATAAGAAAGAAATAGCATTGTTGGTGGGAGTGTAAATTGGTGCAGCCGACAGAGGCATTGGTTTCTGGCATCCATTCCTTCTGCAGCTGGCCCAGCCTTTGGGCCCGGCGACCATAGCCTCCTCTCCTGACCCCGCGGGGCCTTTGGGCCTGGGCTGGGCTGGGAAACCAGGGCTGGGTGGCGGTGAATGTGGCCCCTTTTCCAGAGGGGCCAAGGGCCAGCTCCCTTTCTGGGGCTGGCAACCAACCTCCCGTGGTCCTTCCCCTACCCCCGTGCACGGATTCGTGCACCGGGCCTCTGGTATATTCATACATATTTGTGTATGCATCTGAGTCGGGGTAGAAAGATTACTTTGTTCACTATAGGCACATTTTAATCTTTCAAAAAATAAATGAAAAGAAGTATGATGCCTCAAGGCATCTGTCTCAAAACGAAGATTAATACTGTTACAGGGATAAATTAGATCAGCCTGCTTGAAGGAAAGTGCTGGGGACCATGTTAATAGTGCTACATGTGGGTGCTATACACGGGAGGACTAGGACTTATTTTCTCTCTTCCGTAGATCGGCCAGTTGATGCAATGTATTAAGGTTTATCCCTATCTTGTATCCCTGGACAACCTATAGGTCCTATACCGTCAGTCAGTATCCAGTCACCTGCCAAATGCTCGGGCGGGCAGGGGAGGGCAGGAACAGAAATTTCCAACGGCTGCAAAATTCAGCCTCCTCTTAGCACAGCTCAGTTTCTTTTCCTCATGGTAAGCCGGGG